TACATTGCATTGGGTTGGATTGCCAAGCCCAACACAGATAACTGCCAGGGCTTACGTGGCGTAATGAAGACCAGCACGTGGTCTTTGTCCTGGATCAACTGTCTCGTGATCTTCGGAAGGTAGGCTGACCATCTCTTTCGGAAGTGGGTAGTTGTTTGATGACGTGTCCCCGCGTGGGGGACACGTGGAGAACGTGGAGAAGCGCATGAGCCTCCCCGTCAAGAGAGCCTTCTGCCCGACTGGTGAGCCTTGATGAGGCTTGTGCTCGACATAGGAAATTGGGCCTTGTTGGGCCTCATCAGCATAACACTGGGTTGGGCCTACCCGACTGAGTGGCAGGTCCTGGCCCTGTCCAGAACAGGAGCCCCCTAAGTCGTTGCTCCTAGGTGGAGGAGTAATGACTTAACAGTGGGTCGAAATGCCGAGGACCTCTTTGTTAAAAGGTATTTGCCCGCCGTATAAAATTGGGAGTCGTGTATCATGTCGGGAGTAGAAGCATGTCGGAGAGCCCGAAGGGGAGATGGATGGATGCAGAGCTTCTGGTGCTGCCATGTGTCAAGCAACCATCGCTTAGCTATGGCGGCTAGGGGTAGGGGCGTTTGAGTGCCTAGGGGCGCCTCGAGACTCGTGCTAGGCTTATAAATAAGATTGAGTCTGCTTCATTTCTCACTTTTCACTTCTACCGTAGATGTGGAATTTGTCGAGAAATCGGTCATATGCGGAGAAAATGTCCGAACATGGCAGACCCATCAAATCGGCCAGTCTAAAAATGATGTATTTTTTTCACTCTTAAATATTAATAATATTTTCTTTTTTATGATTTAATGATATGTTTTTTATATAATTATTTAGTTTAACAATTTATTAGAGGCTGTGAAAAATATTTACTAATATTAAAAAATTATTTAAAATAATTAAATTATTTATTTATTAATTTAAAATATCATTTAACTAATTTTAATATACTAAAAACATTTTAAAACATAAAATAATAAAATATAATATATAATTATTTCTGAAATTAAAAAAAAAACAAAAAAAAAGTAGCTAGTTAAGGGTCGGCCAATGGATGGCCGAACCCATGCTGGACGAAAAAGTCATTCATAGGGTCGTCCTTTCAATGGACGAACCCTTACTAGAAGTGTGGCAGTTTTGCATTTTTTTTTTCAACTTGTGGCATTTTGGTGTTTAATTTTTCAGGCTGTGCATATTGGTAAAAAAATTTGTTCATGTCGTGGTTGTTGCAATTTGGTTTGTACAAACTGTGTTTTTCATGGCCAAATGAAGTGGACCATCTATTGGACTTTTGTTTATGTCAGGATTTTGGATTTTTAACTTTTGCGTTAATTTCTATATGTAATAAACAAAAGGATTATTGACCCTTATTGTTTTAGTGGTTTTTTTGTGTGTGGATGGACTTTTATATTATATAAAAAAAAAAAGAAATATCTTCGTAACAATTTCTTTGGGTTTTGACAATTTAAATTGAATGTGGGATTTTTCTTCATACACCCCATGTGCTTTCTATTTGTAAAGAAGGAATTATGGGCTTCAAATGATATGGGTTTAGAAAAAACATAATGGTTAATACTTGAATTTCTATGTTGATCCAACATCTTCAATTATCCAACTTACACCTTTGAATTATTCACTTGAAACTTAAATCGGTCCTTAAAAAAATATGCTTCATCATTGAATCCATCTTTGTGAAATAAAGTTAAATATGGATCAACCTTGGATTTTGACTGAGTTGGAAATTTGAACTAACAAAACCACTAATGAATCAATGTCTGAAATTTTCCACTTGCACTGCTACACCAAATTTTCACCATGAATCAAATGCTCAGTCAGCAATATGCCTTGAAATCATAAGAACATGACTTAAAGTGTGAATTGTGTCATCATTGTTCCAAAAAGCATGATTGAAAAGGAATTGATCTCTGATGATCCACAATCATGAAACATTTAAATTCAGCATAGTCTAATAATCTGAGTTCACATATAAACCCTAACTGAAATTCCAGGCACACACCACTCAAATCATGTATATCCTGACCTTGATTATGAAATAAAACTTACTTGACCAAGATTAGCTCAAACCTAACTGATCTCCAATCAATACTACACTTATCCATGGCCTGATGAACCACAAAAGAAAGTAATAACATATTATTGGGATTTTTCTGAATAACAGTTAATGGACGGATGCACAGCTGAAGATTATGTACAGATAGGAGTAATACACGGGTAGGAAAATTTTGGGGTATGACAGGTGCACAACATAAAACTTTTAGAGAAATATCCTTTGCTATGGGATTCTTACAAGATGATAGAGAATTTATTGAGGCAATTAAAGATGCCCATGTTTGAAGTTATTTGTCACCATGTTGTTATCATAATCTATGAATAGACCCGAACATGTTTGGAATAATTTACGGTTGTACTTATCATATGGTATTCTTTATGAAGAACGTATGTTGACAAGAAATGCAGGTACATAAATCATTTCATGGGTTTCTACTTTCTATTTCTTTACTTTAATATTAGGTGTTTTAAATATGGCATTTTTTTACAATAGGATTGGCACTTACAAATGAAGAAATAAAACAACTGACACTTATGACGATTGAAACACAATTGCAAAAAACAAGAAAAGTTTGAAGGACTACAAGTCAATGCCATATCCAAAAGATTTTGTAATTTCATTTATTGGAAATAGGCTTATTTATGATGAAAGTCAATATGATCCAACAAGTATATTTAAATTTACACGCATGCATCCCTTACAGGTAACATCAAACTGCCTTTATTTAATTTAATCAGTTAATCTTGATGTTGGTCATAATAATCTTTTTGTTATGATGATGATATTTGAAGATGAGTAGAGAAAGATTTTTGAAGAAATAATAGAAGTTGTAGAAAATAAAAAAGGTGGTGTGTTTTTTTATATGGTTATGGTGGAACAGGTAAAATGTTTATGTGGAACACTTTGTCAGCTACACTTCGTGCTAAAAGAAAAATTGTGTTGCGTGTTGCCTCAAGTGGGATTGTAAATTTGTTGTTACCAGGTGGAAGAATAGCTTATTCTAAATTTAAGATTCTGATCCCTACTTTAGAATCTTCCATTTACAACATTGACAAAAAAGATGAACTTGTTGATCTTTTAAAGTTGACTGATCTAATCATATGGGATGAGGCTCCTATGGCTAACCAATTTTGCTTTGAGGCTTTTGACAAATCTTTGAAGGATATTATGAGTATTAATGGAGAAGCGTCTGCAAAAAGTTTTGGAGGGAAGGTTATTGTTTTTGGTGGTGATTTGAGACAAATTCTTCCTGTTATACCAAGAGGTACTAGATCAGATGTTATTCATGCAACTATGAATGCTTCATATGTCTAGGATCTATGAAATGTACTCAAACTTACAAATAACATGCGCTTACAAAATGGAGCAATGACAAGTACCGCAAGTGATATTCAAATTTTTTCTGAGTGGATCTTAAAAATTGGAGATGGGACAATGTCTGAACCAAATGATGGTTATGTTGAGATTACAATTTCCCAAGAGTTTACCATTTCTAAATTTTCAGATCCTATAGAGGCTATTGTTGAAAGTACCTACCACGATCTCATTGATAACTATCACGATTCCAATTACTTTCAAAGTCGTGCAATTCTGGCTTTAACTATTGAAGTAGTGAAATCAATACATCACAAACCTTCTTCCCAGTACTATTCATGCTTTAATACTATATTTAATTTTGTAACATATGTATTTCTATTATTTATCATTAAATGTGAGTACATTTTTCTTTTATGTTTTTAAGGAGAAGAAAAGGAATACTTCAGTAGCAATTCTGTAGATAGATCCAAAGCAACCGACTTTGATGCATTTAAATACTTGATAACCGAATTCTTGAATGTTCTTAAAACATCAGGATTGCCTAATCATTCAATATAGTTGAAAATTGGGACCACATTTATGTTGTTGCGTAATTTGGATCAATCTGAAGGATTATGCAATGGTACACAACTCATTGTAACAAGGCTTTCTAATCATGTCATTGAAGTTAAGATCATTTCTGAAAAAAATATTGGTAACATCATTTATATTCCAAGAATTTCTTTGTCTCCCTCACAATCACCATAGCCTTTTAAATTCGTGAGAAAACAATTCACAATTATTGTTTCTTTTGCTATGACAATTAACAAAACTCTGGGTCAATCTTTTGACAATGTTGAATTATATTTACCAAAAGATGTTTTTAGTCATGGTCAATTGTATGTGGCACTTTCTAGAGTTAAGACTAAAGAAGGTCTTAAGATTTTAATTCATGACAAAGATAAACAAGCTATGCATACTACCACTAATGTTGTCTTTAAGGAAGTTTTTCACAACATTTGATAGGTATTTAAATGCAAGTTGTTTTGTATCATTTATTGTCTATTTCCAATGGTATTCTGAATTGTCATATAATATAAACGTTATTTTATATGGGTTGAATCATTTTGTTCAGTATGGAGATTCATGGTTCACAATCTATCTAATATCAAGAATGATCGTAACACTTGTATTTTTTTTTTCTTTCCTTTTTTTTCTTTGACATTGATACTCAATTTTACTACTATATTTTGGATCCACATATCGCAAATCTTTTGTTCTTCTATTTTTATTTCATCATTCCACATTGTTTTTACATAATAAAATTTAGCATGTTTATTTTACATATTTCTTAAATATTTATATATTAGGTTAACAAAATTAATTTACCCGTACTCACACAGGTATTATACTAGTTCTTTTCAGTAATATAAAAAGCACATCCTAATAGATGAAGTTCACAAATAATTTACAAGTTCTACTAAATAGAATAAAAACAAGATCTCATAATAATTTCTAAGTTGTACTAATTAGAAAAAAAGAATATTATTTTGAAACAAACTCAGTGACTTTAATTCAACCATCAACATAGAAGTGAAATAAGTAAAACTATGAAGATTTAACATGGCAGTGATACCAAACTCTCACAGTGAAAACATGGATACCTAACTCTCTTCATAGTTCTAAAGGCAACACCAGTATTTGTGTTATATACGATAAGCTCGTAATTATGGATTAGTACCATTAGAATACCATTTTGTGATATGAACATTAGCTCAACCATACAAGGGTTGTTCTGGAGGAGCTTGTCATAAGAAACGACGATGAACTTAGTCCATGACTCAACAACTCCATACTCTTTCATCATCCACAAAACCCAATCACAATTATCAGAGTGGGACAAACAAAGGTGATCACTCAAAACAGACAGCGCACTATGTTTGTAGACAATGTTGTGACCATCATTTTGAGGTAACAACAGTTCCATGTAAGTCTCTGTCTCGATATCAAAGGAAAGAATCTTGTTTTTACTAGAAACTATCCAATTCAGAGTACCACTAACAAATTTCCCAGTACGCATAGTATCATTATAAGGGAAATTGGGAATTGTTTTCCAGGAATCATCTTGACCAAAGGTATATATTTTGGTCAAAATTTGATGATAATGTTTATTACTTTGCACAACTAGTAGCGCCTTGTAGTTGTCATTAACTTGATCATATCCAAAGCCATACGGCTTAATGAACCAATTTCGTGAAACAGGTACAGAAGATGTTTTCGATATCATCCGGAGAGAAGGATTGCACAGTCTGACACAACGTGGAAGGCAATGAAGCAGACACAAGAGCCCGTTGCATGAACCTATAATACAATAAGACTTTACCTCTGTGTAGAAGGAGGTACCACGTTTAACAGTGGCTGCTGGGTTTTCGAACAATTGCTTCAAAGGATAGGATACAGTGTTCCGTGGTCCTCTAGTAATGGAAAACACCCATGCTTGGTTGGTCAAGGTTCGATCCGCCGTTGAGATTTGAAGATGGCTTTTTACGAATTGGGAACTGGAGATTAGAGTTTTCCATGATTTGCACACACACTTGAATTGAAGGAGGGACCTCACCGGAAGACTCAGGAGGATCTCGCCGATGAGTTCTTCCGGCAAGACAGGCAGTGGAATGGCGGTTGATTTTTGCATCGCTTGAACAGTCGATGTGTTTAGGGTTTCTAATCCTAATAATCTGAGCTGCTCCTTCAATCTTTATTATAGATAAATTTGTTTGTTAAGAGATTTTTTATAGATAAATTAGTTCAATCATTTTAAGTAGTTTTTAATTTTATTGGATATCCATATCTAAATAAATTAATTCAAAATTCCAATTAATTTAATAATTTGTTAATAAAAAAAATAACGACAAATGAGTTCATATACATATACTTAACTATGAAATGGCTACATACTTTTCTTTTTATTCAAATTAATTCATTTATAACTTATCATATTGCGTATAGATACCTATCTAATCCACATTCTATTCTATTTTTAAGTGGTGAATAGACAACCTTTAAAAATTCAAATATATCCTTCTTAATTTTGGAAGTATATATTGTCGAATGTGTATTTATTTTACATCAAAACACTTTATATATATATATATATATATATATATATATATATATATATATATATATATATATATATATATATATATATATATATATATTCTTTAAAATTAGTTCAGAAGTGTATATTCAAGTCTTTAATGAACTTTGGAGAAGATGCCCCTGATTGGGCTGAGTTTTACTTTAAAACTCTTGATCTTGGTCAACAAAAGGTTGAACAACCTCGTGAGGAACACTCACGTCTTTTAAGGAGATCGATGCCCCTGACTGGGCTGAACGTTGCTTTGAAACTCTTGAATTTGTCCAACAAAAGGTTGAACAACTTCGTGGGAAACGCCTAAGGTTTTATAGAAGATGCCCCTGACTGGGCTGAATATCATCTTGACAACAGATCAACCCTAAGGTTGAAATAACATCATGGGAGATGCCCATGGTCTTCAAAAAGATGCCCCTGGCTGGGCTGAACCTTGTTCTGATATCCTTGAATTTCGTGAGAGGGAACCCACGGTATTGTAAGAAATGCCCCTGACTGGGCTAAAGATAGTCTTGAGAAATCTGTGAGATGATCTTGGACCTTGATCTGCATATGCCAATGCTCGATGATAATGATATTCCATAACGAATGCAAATGCAAATGCTGGGGGCGCGGAGATGCAAGAATTGGGGAAGTATGTTATGGTTTAGGTATGCATATGATGCAAGATGTATGCAGAATGCTAGGGATATGAGAGAGTCAGGGGTGACGGTCGCGTCAAGCGCGGTTGGGCTTGTTGGGGAACGGAGACACGTAAGGTGAAAGGTACCAGAGATGGTTTTTTGCAAAGAAGTATCAGCCAAAAGTGGCCTTGAAACAGAAAGGTGCCAAGTATGATTGGGCTTTGGACTAGATGGGGGAAAAAGCTTGACTTCCCGACATTGTTTTTTCATGATACAATCAAATTTTAGATATGCTAAAACTCCCAATTTCGTGCCAGTTCCTTCTGGGCTAGATGATTTGTCTTGGCCAAGTCACTTCGGGATTTCAAACGATGTTCCTGCATGTTTCTCGGAGTCGTGATCACCCTTCAGTTACCCTAAGAGAGTAATTAACCCCTTAATTTCTTTCCACCGCAATGCTATTATGTGCAATACTTATCACCAATAAAACAAATCTTACAAATATATAATAAGAAAATAGAAGAGAAACTCTTTGATGAAAGTAATTTTTATTGATGAAGACCCGTAAATGGGAAAATTACAAAAGGAGGCAATTCCTAAAAGAGGTAATTGCTTTGAAAGAGAAATAAAAATACAATGGCAATGTTGAAATCGGTTTCTAGCGAGTTTCCATTCTGCTATGACCCATATATCTCTGAACACCCTCTATGCCTTGCCTTTGAGCGCAACGATTGAATTGATCTCTCCCAGTCAGAGCTCAATAATCATGGAGGAAAGTTCATGCATCCCTTCAGGATGCAGTTTAGCCTTTTGAATCCCTAACTTTTGCCTAGGCCGTCATTTCGGTTTTTCAGCCTACCGGGATATTTCTTTTATTTTAGTCCCTAACTTTTGCCTGGACTTTTCTTTTTTCATGGTCCACCAGGACGCCCATTTTTGCGTGGATTTTCTTTTTTAGTCCACCGGGTCTATCTTTTAGGCATAATATTTTTTAACTGCATCTGAATTCACAGAGGATGGAAGATCATCACCGTCCATGGTTGAGAGAACCAAGGCTCCTCCGGAGAAAACCTGTTTCACTACATATGGACCCTCATAGTTCGGTGTCTATTTTCCCTTGGATCAATATGAGTTGGCTAAATTTTCCTCAAGACCAAATCTCCTGCTTTGATGTGTCGTGGGCGAACTTTTTTGTCAAAGGCTCTCTTCAACCGCTTTTGATATAGTTGACCATGGCAAATGGTTGTCATTCGATTCTCGTCGATGAGATTAAGTTGGTCGAGTCTTGCTCGTATCCACTCAGCTTCGTCTAGCTTGACTTCTGCTAAAATCCTCAGGGAAGGAATCTCTACTTCAATAGGCAGCACTGCTTCCATGCCATACACGAGAGAAAACGGGGTTGCCCTAGTAGAAGTGTGGTAGCCATGTAGGGAAAATGGCAACATCTCGTGCCAGTCTTTATAAGTTTTTACCATCTTCTGGACGATCTTCTTGATGTTTTTGTTTGCCGCCTCCACAACTCCATTCATTTTGGGGCGATATGGCGTCGAGTCATGGTGCTCAACCTTGAAGCTTTCGTACAACTCCTTCATCATTTTATTGTTGAGGTTCAAACCATTATTAGTAATGATTTTATTCAGAACTCCATATCAGAAGATGATTTCTTTCTTAATGAAGCGAGTCACCACTTGTTTAGTGACGTTGGCATAAGATACGGTTTCCACCCATTTGGTGAAGTAGTCAATGGCCACTAAGATGAAACGGTGTCCGTTGGAGGCGGTTGGCTCGATACGTCCGATTACATCTATATGCCACATGGAAAAAGGCCAAGGCGAAGACAACACATTCAAAGGAAGCAGTGAAGCATAAACTTTGTCTGCGTAAATCTGGCACTTGTGACATGTCTGGACATGACGTTAACAATCTGTTTCCATGGTCATCCAGTAGTATCCTGCCCTTAAGATCTTCTTAACCATAGTGTGGCCACTAGCGTGTGTCCCAAAAGACCCTTCACGCACTTCGTTTATGATACATTATGCTTCGTGTTTATCCATGCATCTGAGCAGAACCGCATCATAATTTCTTTTGTATAACTGTTTACTGTGAATTTTGGTAAACAACCGCTGGTCTATCAATTTCGAGTAAAATTGACTAACTTGCATGATTGACCATACTAAATCCTAGAACATGTGCTATGTAAAATCCCAAATTTAATCGGAATATTTTAAATTAATGATTTAATTGAGAATATTCATGTCTCTGTGAAGTTTCGGGGGTTTTGAGAAGTATTGGAAAAATGTGCATTTTTGGGTATTTATTTGATTAATAGCATATAATATTAATTTATTAGTATTATTATTAATTAAAATGAATATAAGTGAAATAAGGGTAATTTGGGCATTTGAGGGAGTTAGTAAGGGTAATGAAGGAAAAGTCCAAATTGTGAGGCCCAAGACTAGGTTTGACAAAATAGAGTTCTGAAGGGAAATTAGAATTCATTTGTGTTAACCGTGAAAGTTTGGTGGCCAAAGCTCTGAAGGAAAGCTTGAAGGCAGAAGATTCCCAGAGTTAATCGTGAAAGCTGTGAATCGACTAAGGTATGGGGAGTATCGCTTTTCATGATTTTCTATGTATGCCTTTCGATGTGTTTATGGTTGGTTTGAGATTTAAGGTATTTTGGGTTGATTGTGAGAAAATTAGTGAAATTGATGATAAGACTCTGAGGTTATGGCTAGTGGTATGTAGCACTGAATATTTGATATGAGGATTAGGAAACCTTAGGCCTTGTGGCCAAAACCTTAGATTATTATATGTCTGACCATAAGAGATAGGAATATTTGATATGAGAAATTATGATGCCTTCAGAGCAATTGTAGGGAAATTGTGATTTAGAACATGAATAGGTTGTCGGATTGGCCTAATAAACTGTAGGCTTTGTGCCGTTATCGCCGTATGACCTTAGGGATGATTTAGGGATGTTTTGGGGGCATTGGGTGTGTGAATCCTATGAGTATTTGGATAGAAATCAGTTCTGTGCATAACAAATTTTTGTTGTCATCGCACTATTCACCTAGCGAACCATGCTTTTCCAGACTCGCCTAGCGAAGAAACTTGTCCCGACTCGCCTAGCGAGCATGCCAGCGAACGTAGCAGAGTTTCACAAATATTGATCGTGTGCAGCGATGCCTTGATGTTTGAATCTGTGATTTCTGTGATGGATTACCATGAGTATGACAGTGGGTTTTGGGATGCTATGTATATGATGACATGATGGTTTCTATGATGTATTGATTGAATTAACATGATGATATTCCCATGATTTTTGGTGAATTATGTGATAACATGAGATATGATGATTTATGTGATTTATGTGATGATGATGAATATGATGAATGATGATGCACCATATGCTATTGTTATGAGGATTATATTCGACGTGTGCATCATGCATTCATGTGCATCTGGACTTCGGTTCAGGACCTCGATTACTTTAGCTTTGATCCCATTGTGTGGATGTGAAGTGTTTTGATGTGATTTGGTTCTCTAGTAGAATCGATCCTATTGATGGGGATCTATGGAGGGTTGATGGCCCAGTGTCCATCGAGCTAAGATGATTGGTACCACATGCATTAAGTTGTGTTGCATTGCATTTCTGAGTCTTTTTGTATGAATTATGACATTGTGACCCTCGAGGCTTAATTGAAGGATATGAATGTGTTGAATATGAATATAACGTCGTTTATGCATTAATTGTTATACATTGATTATCATGAATTGTTTTACTCACCCTGCCTGTTTGAATGTTGTCTCCACGTGGGTAATGCGCAGATGACCAGGTTTAGTCGTGGACGCCGTCGAGGAGTCATTTTTGAAGTTTTAGAGTCATTAGCCTTTATGGTTAACTTAGAGGGTCTTGCT